GCACAGAAGTTGCAGCAACATTGCTGCAACGTTGAAATAATGTTGTAATGTTGCAGCAACATTTTTCGACTTTGTGTGCTATATGGGTTAGTTATTTTTGAAAAGATATAAATAAATTATAAAATCTTTTTATAAATTTCAAAAAATATACAATACGACTAAAACCTCAAATATTCAAGCTTCTCAAGCAAGTTAACCTTGTGTACTTAACTTGATATATTATTAATTTTTTCACAATGAGTGATCGCTAATTGGAATATTCTCTTCAATCCCTAGCGATTTTTTGTCGGACAAACAGCTAAATCTAAGCTATATTTAGATGATTAAAAATTGTATAAAAATAGGGTGAAATGTATAAATTCTTCTTAGCATTTCGTCCTAATTACAAATGAATCTTAATTCTTAATATCGTCTGATACACGCAGTAACGACGTAGAAATAAATATTTGAATACCTTCCATATTTGCAGCAATGTTGATTAAATTCTCTGCGAACGTCATCTTGAATAATCTTGCAAAGATAATACCTTCGTAAACTTAAGATACAGGTGATAATAATACATATGTACATTATTTAGATAATAATAAGAGTTGATGCTAGAATTTTATCTGGACATTCCGTATAATTCTATCTGGATAAGAGCAAACATCGCGCGGACGAAATAAATATCCCAGATCAGAAATCTGGGAAGAAATTGGAAGAAAACGAACGGACGAACGTCGACGATTATCTCCCGAGATTCACGTCGATCAATGTTAGCGTTCCATTTCATCACAATGAAAATGCTATCGATCGCGAACGAGCGATCGATCGATCGATCGATTAATCGATGATCGATCTACGATCTACGAGCGAATTACGAGGATATCTACACCGTGACATACGTAAGAAGATATTTCGCGCCCACGTATGCGCGCATGCGCATTTGCCAGCTGCAAGCGTGCGCGCGAAGCACGGTGACAATTTCATCTATCGATCGAACGCCGCGGAGTTTCACCGGTTTCGCAACTTCGCTCCGCTCGGCATCGTGCCCCAGAGATTTCGATAAGAAAGTCGTCCTCTCTCGACCGAGCCGTTCTTCATAGCATGAATCCGAGAGACGCGCGCGCTCGCGCGAATCTGTCTTGCGTATCGGCGCGGCAATATATTACGTTACGGTAACGGAGACGGTTACGTGCGAATGAAGATATCTCGATGTATCGATATGCCGAAGGACGATCGTAGGTTTGTCCGTGAACATCGCGTTGGATGGTGATTTGTTTTCTCAGTCCAGAAGTGTATGTCGATGCGCAGTTCTTACATCAGCGTTTTGATTGACGTCGTGTAGTGCGACTCTCATAATCGCGATCTCCCGCCTTCGTGCCTTCGAGAGGCAGAGAGAGAGAGAGAGAGAGAGAGAGAGAGAGTGAAGCGGAGAAGTCAAACGTAGATTTCAACTTCAGCCGGACTTCTCTTCTGGACGGATATATTTTGATCTCAATGTCAATTTTAACGCGGCGGGCAATCGCGCGAACGCGTAATTGGACGCGTCAGCGTATCGCAACAACAAGAGGAACGTTCCTTTTCGCCGCCGGAGGAGCACCTAATTAGTTATTGGTGCGTGAGTGTTAATCGTTCCGCGGGAATATGCTGCCTCGCGACGGCACAAAACCCACAAGCTAACCTCATTCGAGGCGCGCGGCTGCCGGCAGCAACACTCGACGAAGTCAACCCGAAACGACGGGATACCCTCCGCCGTCGTCGCATTCTCGGTGACCTAGCTCGAGCACGGCTCGTGCTCGACGCCGCTCTTCAGACCTCTTTGTTCGTTAATCAGCCGGCCTCTTGATTTCATTACGGCGCTTCGCGTTGATTCGCGGCACGCGATCATCGCAGTGGGCGCGATCGCAATTAACATCCATCGCGGTTACGCGCTCGCGTTAAGCCATGCTGAACGAACACGAACAACAAGCGAACATCGAATGTTCGCTCGGATGTTCGTACGTTCGCCCTCGCGTTCGTTAGAATTCGTTTTTTCCCGATTTCGCAATGGACGTTCTCGCATTCGGTGAAATTCCGTGTTCGCCACCGAATACGACGAAGGATCAGTCTATAATTATTGCAAGTTTTGTGCTGATCGTAGGATCAATGAAGGAAAAACAAATCAAAGGCGAGAGATATTGAGGGACATCATTGTACTTCAGTCGTATACGACATAGAGGGACCTATTAATTTATTTAAAGAGAGAATATATAGGGCAGTTATTTGTAGAATATCTATACGAATGATTCTGAACTATTGTTGAACAAAATTGGACCTAAGATTTCGGCACAAAACATTTCGACCTTCAATTCTCATCCAAAAGGGATTTGCTATTCTTCTTCGTTATTTCTCGATATCTTCGTTTTTTCGCAAGGAGATTCTCACACAAGTTTAATGTATTTTTTTTAAGTATATATAAAACAAAAATTATTAAAATCGATATTATTATAAAATTAATATAAATTAATATAAATATATTAATATAAAAATTATTAAAATTATTATATATAGTATTATATGTATAGGGAAGAAGATGGTACATTATGGCCCTTCTAGGTATTATGGCACTCAATATTTCCGTTATTAAGTAACGATTTCCAGTTATTACTTATGATTTCATTTGTTTAGCAGTTCGCCGTTAGCGCAGTGGCATTAATATATCAATATACAATAGCTAGTACTTTTTATAACGCATTTTTACTTTCGAGCATTTCGAAAGGTACATTTTAGCATTTAATTAGACATCTTTCCTCATTATTTTTAAATTAGAGCGTAATATCACACGAATATGTGTACACTTGAGCATTTTGTTTATTACTTGACATTTTATTCGGCTGTACATGTTTCAAGTTATGCAAAGTTAAATGAAATTGGTATGACATTTTGCTAATGTGGCGCCATAAGAGTACTGTCTCTTTCTCGAGGTTTTTATATCAAAGTAATTATTCGATAAGTCGATTCTAATAGTCCACTGTTGCACTTATGTTTGCATTACACTGCTGTCTTTCTGGCAGATTGTTTCCTAACAAGTAAGATAATATCCACATTAAAAATTCATAGTTATAATATAATCATTATTATTTCCCTTCTAAAAATTTAATTTGAATAAATACATAATTTCGTAACTAAATATTTTGTGTTATTTTAAATAAAATCAATTTTTTGTATCAGTTTTAGTAATCAATTTAGTAATTAATTTTTTGTATCAGGTTTAGTAAGAGGCCACATTACCACCTCATTTTTTCACCGATCTATTATACTGTGTTGCAATATTTTTATAAATAATATCCAAAGTAATAATTACGTAAATTTGAGTCTATAATCGACGAAACAATCCTATAACAAATGTAATCATTCAATTTTAATTTGAAAATATTGATTACTGACAAAGTCATTATTCAAAATGTGAATGGAGGGTCATATAACATCACTTTCTCCTCTATTATGTATATAATATTATATTGTATATATAATGTTATATATATACAGGGTGTCCGAGATCTTTTAGAAACAAAACATTGTGAAGATTAATCAGATCGAACTGAGAAGAAAAATCAAGTTCCATTTTGCAAAATTCGCAATAGTTATTAAGTTATTATTGATTGAAAATGATCACATCTAGAGGTTCTTGATAACTTGAAAATTTATTTGAAAAAATTTATATACTTATTTATAAAATGGTAAAGGACTTTTTTGTTCAGAATGACTTAATCTACAATTATATGACGGCTATTGTGCCTAGTGATAGGTTCAAGATTCAAGATTTAAAGTTCAACATACTCATATCTATTGCTAGACATAATTGCTAGCCATCATATAATTGTAGATTGTATCATTCTGAACGAAAAATTCCTTTACCATTTTGCAAATAAGTATGCAAATTTTCAAGTCATCAATTAAAAGAGTTTCTACATGTGGTTTTTAATCATCAATAACTTAATAACTTTTGCAAAATAGTACATGACTTTTCTTCTCAGTTTGATCTGATTAATCTTCACAATTTTTCGTTTTCAAAAAATCCCGGGCATCCTGTATATATAAATTATTAAAATATTATTGAAATATAACTATATCTTTTTTTTTCTCTCTTCCATAGCAGTACACTTTCTCTTCTGGCACAATCCTTGAAATAAGTTGTTCGGATATGTATATGGCAGAGGGAAAATCTCATATTTTAATAACATTTTAATAACTTTTATTTACATAATTGTAAACTCATGTATTTTACCCTGTTTCTGAATATCTTGGCCAACTCTCCCTAATCTTTATCAATTTCTTTTATATTGTTATGATGAAATGGATTTTTCGGGTTCCACATTAAATTCATCTCTTTATAAGCTTCTACTTTAAAGTTACTGTAGCTTCTTCGGTCCGTTCCATTTGTTTCGTTTTTATAATAATTGCATGCGTACTATCAAACACACAAATCACATGTTGTATTATAACGAATACTGAACAACGAATTCACGTCCACATTGCGCACGAACTTTCCTTGACGAACCGCTTCGTGTGAGAATCAGCGATAAGAACGTGAATCGAACGCGAAACGGGGAATATGGCGATTGTGCGATTCGGAATCTGTTCGTTCGTTATTCATTCGTTCAATGTATACCCACTTTTACACGAACATTTTACACGAATGCGAGGCGTTTAAATAAAAGCAAAAACTATATGTACAACATAATCCTCGTTGGACGCGAAGGAAAAAGTAACGAGATTCTTCTCTCCTTCGCCTCCTTGGCTTCCCAGAGAAATCACAGGCAATTCTCGCGTGCTCACGTTCGTCGCGCATCTCTCTCTCTCTCTCTCTCTCTCTCTCTCTCTCGCGCGCGCATCTATATTCTCCCTTTTCTCCGAAGAAGAGTTTCGTGTCGCGTCCTATCATCGCGCTCTCGCTCTCGGTCGCTTTCCCAGTACGCGCTCAGTTTTCGAAAGTGACTCCATGCTGGGTGATAACGACGATCTCTTCTGCTTCTCAGGCGCCACTCGATCGCGAGGCGTACGTCCCTGCGAGGCGACGTCGCTCTTGAGTAAGCTGGGAGCCGTCGAAGAACGTGAAGTGGATCCTGGGGGAAGAGGAGCCGGCGAGAACGCGAGGGGAGGAACGTCGAGAAGGAGAGAATTCAGTGCGCCGCGTCAGGATCGACCTCGGCACCGCTTCCACGATGTCGTACGCCAATCGATTCCCGTCCACTCAGCACACTCGTTATCGCAGTAGCTGGGGACCATCCTCGGTCTCTGTCTTCAACCGCGCCGATGTGCCGCGACCCTCGCCAGAAGAGGAAGAGTTCGCCGACTTCTATCACGAGCGGCTGCACTCGGCGCAGAGTCGTCAGCTGATACCACTTCAGGAAGACTTGGCGGATTGGATTAACAAGACGATAAGTGAGTACATCGTTGGCCATTAGCTGGAGCCTTAGTAATTCGTGTGCGCTGAGTATTTGAAGACACGGAAAAAAAAACAACTCGGTGCAACTTAGTATGACTGAATTTTTTTTGTCAGCATCAGACGAGAACTTGAAGCAGAGATCCCCATTGGAGGTTTCTCTGCTCACGGTCGATCTTGATCTTACTTTCAGTCGTCTGAAGACATTAGAACTATCGACGATTAGAACAGAAGTACCCAAGTAGAACAGAAAATCACGATGATACCAGAATAACGAGGCTGAATCACGATGAAAAAATGAGCTTTTCTCATCATTTCAGCGTCATTGTGATTTTCTGTTCCGCCTGGGATCACGATCTGTCTTCACTGAAGCGGTCGGAATAACGGCGTCTTGGACAAATATGTATTAATATACTATATACAGGGTGGCCTCTTTTTATATGAGCCAGCCAAAAATCTCGAAAAATATGGAAGATATCAAGAAACATTTCAGACAAAAGTTGTATGGTTTCAAAAGGGACATAAAATAACTATATCATTTTGATTACAAATGGCGCCACTTTCGAGGTATTCATTGATCATTACTTTTCTTAAACGGAAACCCCAATTTTTTATTATATCATCTTTTTCTATCAAGTAATTTGGACAACTTTTGTCCGAAATATATTTTTATCTGCCTAATATTTTTTGAGATATTTAGGGAGAACTTGATAACTTTTTTAATATTTAATTTATGATATCTCGCTAACTATTTGTCGGAAGAAAACGTGGCACTAGACTTTTTTACTCTATTTTGTCTGAAGAATATATTGTTACAATAGCGTCCTGACTTTTGTTAATTTGATAATTTTGAAATTTCTAAAGGTCGATAAGTTAACAAAAGTTGGGACATTATTATAACAATACATTCTTGAGATTAAATAGAGCAAAGAGTCTAATATTATTTTTTCTTCCGACAAATAGTTAGCAAGATGTCGTACTAAAAAGAATTACCAAGTTTTCCTTAAATATCTCAAAAAATAATAGGCAAATAAAAAGATATTTCAAACAAAGTTATTAAAATTAATTGGTAAAAAAATATGATATAATAAAAAAATTGGGATTTCCATTTAAGAAAAGTAATGATCAGCAAATATCTCGAAAATGGCGTCATCTGTAAACAAAATGATATAGTTGTTTTATATTTCCTTTGCAACTATAAAATTTTTGTCTGGAATGTTTCTTAGTATCATTCATTTTTTTGAAATTTTTGCTTGACTCATTTAAAATGGAACATTCTATATATTTAATAAAAATTAATATATTATACATTATATTATATTGTAAAATATAATATAAAATATACAAAAGTATAAAAATAAAAGTGTATTAAAGATATATTCAAGTGTACAGAAATGTTCATTTTTTATAGTATTATTCAACGCCCATTAAACATATAAAATTCATTGTTATATAAATTCGTGCAATTTTTCTAAAAAGTTACATATCGGTTATTTCGACCACTCTGGTAATTCTAATGTCAATCAAGTTTTAACACAACTCAACATTCAGACGAGTGTTTCCATCCGCGGTAACAAAGATATATAGGGTGTCCTATTTTAATTGTGCATTCCGATTAATATCGCAGAAAGTGATCGAATGAAAAAAATGTTTTAGACAAAAGTTGTTTAATTTGGAGGGGGATATAAGACTACGATATCATTTTGTTTGCAGATGGCGCTACTTTACTACGGGATATTCACTGATCATTACTTTTCTTAAATGAAACTCCCATTCTTTATTATGTCATTTTCTTCTCCCAATTAATTTTAACAACTTTTGTCTGAAATATTTTTTTATTTGCCTAATATCTTTGGAGATATTTAAGGAAATCTTGATAACTTTTTCAATATTTAATTTATGATATCCCAATAATTATTTGTTGAAAGAAAAAGTGGTACCAGACTCTTTTACTCTATTTAGTCTCAAGAATATGTCATAATAGTGTCCTAACTTTTGTTAACTTGTTAATTTGGAATTCCCAAAAATCAACAAGTTAACAATTTAGAGCGCTATTGCAACAATGTATTCTTGAGACCAAATGGAGTAAAAAAATTTGGTATCACTTTTCCTTCCGACAAATAGTCGGAAGTCAGGGTGCACAATTAAAATGGGACACCCTGTCGTTTCTCGTCGCTAAATTTTTATCTGGCCCTTATTTAGTTGCACGAACTGAGATTTTTTCCGTGTAGAATCGGACAATTTGGGAGTGATCGACATGAGTTCGCGATGTCGCCGAGATCCACGAATTGCCTCGCTGTTTCGTGAGGAATTTCGACAACCATGGATATTACCCGCGTTGCTTCACGAGAAAAGCCGATAACTCGCGGATTTATAGATAATGTGCTGCGGGTTTTCGGCAAGAGCGCGAGTCATCGAGCCGCTTCCCTCCCGGCATGCTTATTCCGAAATGAATAGTTTCGCTTTCGCAACTCTGTCGTACAATGGCCGCAATATCACGCGAACTTAGCGGTGCATTGCGTGCTATCTTTGACATATCGTTTCCATGCGAACTTGTCAGAAGCTCGTGTTTTGCAACGAAATCGCTATTCGAGATCGTGAGCAACGCAAACCGGGTGGATTCAGGAACGTCGGGCTCACCGTCTACGAAATCGCCGCGGAACTTTCCGTGCGGGGGAAGTCGATAGTCAGCTGTGAGGAAAGTGTAACGTACAATTAACGTTCTCTTACGAGCGTGCTTATTCTGTCGTTCGCTCGGCTTAATCCCGATAATGCGAAAACAGACGGAGAAGCGCGATCTCACGCGGAGAGCGTATCGGAGCGGAAAAAAGGTCGCGACCTTTTCCGCTGGACGAAAGTCCAACTCGGTCGCGAGTGCGCGAGGCGCGAGAAGAAATCTATCCGGCTAACGTAATGTCGGCTAACGATTGGATAGACTTTCGCGCCGTGCTCGGCCACTTTTTTCGCGTCTCGCTAGATGTGAGATCACCTTAAGGAGAGCCGGCCGTGTCGCGCCGCGAGATGCGTGCGGCGTATGCGTGTGCCGGCCTTACGCAGCTTTGCTACGTAAGAACCACACAAAGGTTAGCATCTGGCGCGACGTGGGAAAGGATATTCATAATATTTCGCTCGACACTTCTCTCCCTCTCTCCCTCTCTCCCTCTCTCTCTCTCTCTCTCTCTCTCTCTTTCTCTTTCTCTCTCTCTCTCTCTCTCTCTCTCTCTCTCTCGCTCTTCGTCGCGTTTCGATGCTGGTAGACGGGCGAGGAAAAAAAGGAAGAAGAAAGAAAACCATGCCATGTGTGAAGTATACATTGACCGGGCAGAAATTTTCAAGGATGACTGTTATGCGATAGCTGTACATGGTCTCGTAAGAAGGCAGTCTTGTAAAAGGAAAAAGAAAAAGAGAAGTTAGTTACTTCACGGACTTCCGCACGCCGAATCGCAAAACGAAAGATAATATTAGGAGTATGATTTAGTTTTGAAGATTTTTTTTTTAACTGATTTATTTAAACAAGATAATGAACGAATATCTTAATCAAAATATTTTCCTTCGTCTTCTGCAACTTCTTCCCATCTTTCTCGCGAGAGATGGATTCCGCTACGATGAAACGATTCTTCTTTGGAGTTGATCCAATTTTCAACAAAATTTCGCACTTGTTCGAAGTTATGAAAGTGTGTATCCTCTACAGTATGTTGCATCGACCGGAATAAGTGATAATTGGATGGAGCGATGTCTGGAGAATGCACGAGGTGCGGTAAGACTTCCCATTCCAGCTCTAATAGCGTTTGCTTCACTGATAATGCAACACGAGGTCGATGAAGAAGGATCGCATTGTTGTGAAGAAGGATCACTTTGCGTCGTTTACTCGCAATTCGTGATCGTTTTTGGTCCAATGCTCGCTTCAATTTATATCATTGCTGTCGATAATGATTAGCGGTGACAGTTTCATTCGCATTTAACAGTTTATAAATATATATAGTCAACATCTTCTTGATCCCACCAAATACACAGCAATACTTCTGAACCGTGAATATTGCTGCTTGAAGTGGATGTTGCTGGTTGGCCTGGATCAACCATGATTTTTTTTGTTTGGGATTATCGAGATAGATCCATTTTTCATCTCCAGTAACAATTCGATAGAAAAGTCTCTTCATTTTTTGTCTCGCAACGAAATGTAAATGTTCAACCGGTTCGTAATGGCATTTTCCGATAACTGATGCGGAACCTAATTTTCCTTCTTTGTGAATCTTTCCCATATTATGTAAACGTTTAGTAACTGTTGTACGATCAACATTTAATGCTCTGACAAGTTCCGAAGTCGACACGAAGTGTTGTATTTTTGTCCAATAATGCTTGCGAATCTGCATTTTCAAGCTTTTTTGCTTATCCCGAGCGATCTTTGCCGTTAATATTGAAATCATCATTTTTGAATCGTCTAGATATCCACGTGTCTTGATTGATGGAGCAATATCACCATACATTTCCATTAGAATTCTACGACTTTCAATCGTCGTTTTCTTTTGCTTAAAAAACAAAAGCAACGCATATAAAAAATGCTCTTTAGGAAGCTCCATATCGAAAATGCTCTTTAGGAAGTTCCATTTTTAAGATGGTACGTATTAACCCATTAAGGCCCATCTTTAGACCAGTATAGATATTGAAAAAGTAACTATTGGGTTTTTCGCATGGGTCCTAGCAATAATTATTGGTGTTTTAAATTGGTTGAAAAAATTTTTTAAAACAAATTGTAAACAAATTAAGAACATTAATTTTTCTTCATTTTTTAACAATAAATGAAGCGAAAAATCGAAAATATAACATATGTTTCTTTAGTGATTTTTCCCGTAGAATCGATTGGCGTGGTTAGTTTTTCGGAAAAATTAATTTTTCTTAATTTGTTTACAACAATTTGTTTAAAAAAATTTTTTTTCAACTAATTTGAAGCATCAATAATCATTGCTAGGATCCATGCCAGAAACCCAATAGTTACTTTTTT